TACACTAAGCTGAGGCTCCTAAGAGTCACACCCTAAAATAACCCACCTCCCACTCTGAGAGGCTGCAGGGATAGTTGCTTTGGCATTGAACGTATATGTAAAGGGGGTGGAGTCCCTAAGAAGCTGTATTCACAAGCTGGCCCTTGTGTGCACACTGCACCTCTGTACATCACCTGGGTGGTCTAGAAAACTTTGAGTGGTAAATTTCAGTTAAAGCGGTCCCAGGCTAGTAATGCCGCCAGGCACCTGACAGAAACAAACAGCAAATCCTCTGAAAAAAAAGGCCATTCATCCCAAGCCTCAAAGAATCCCTACAAGTAATTTTTCAGTTTAATGACAAACACCCAGGCAAAAATAAGCAAGCACACAAGAACAGATAAGAGGGGAGAGGGGGAAATCTCAGAAAAATATAGATCCTAAAAGCAAACTTACTCCCTAATGAATCCTGTAGTCATTCATGCAACAAATATTTATTGAGCACGTACTCTGTGCCAGGCTCTATGCCAGGTTGCTGGGCACACATGCCACTTCAGTTGTCATATGAACAAATAACCCAGGGGATGAAAGGTTCTTTGAACTGCCATTACATTTATTTAGCTTTTATTTCTGTTTTCCCAAGACTTCCAAACACAAGGACTGATGAGAGCCCATTACTATTTAGTGATAGATTTTGAAATAAACAGTAATCTCCCAGGACTGAGATTGGCATCATTGATTCTTTTCCCGCATTCTCAGTCCCTAAGGTTCCATGTTTGAGTTAAGCCTAATTATCCCCTAAGCAAAACACAGAGCCACGAAAAGTGAAGGACAATTATCTCAGAGACATAACATTCAGAGTTAACTGCATTTATCTTTAACTGTAAAAGTCCAAGCAGATGATCTTAGAAGGATAGCATAAATTTGGCATTAATTTTAAGGTAGATCTAGAAACAGTTGAAGTGTGGAAAGAAGTTAGTCCAATATTTACTTATATATGAGTATAGATTGCCTTTCTTGGCCAAGGTTGTTGGCAAAATCTTGCTGATATTTGAGTTACTTTAGTGCATCCACATTAATTATCAGTCTTTGTCTTCTATCTAGCTTTTGTAATAAGGATTCAAATAGTCACTTCTGCATTCCTTTGCTCTTATTAAACACTCTGGTTGTCATTTACTGAGCCTTTGGAACAGTATGACCTATGCTTTCTTCTTGCTTGCCAAACCACGGCAGTATGACATGATGATGATGACGATGGTGATATGATAATGATAGCTACTGCATATGAGGTACTCACTCTGGGTCTGGAACTGTGCAAGACACTTTTTAGCAGTTATTTACTCCTCACAACAATTATAAGGGGTAAGTCACTGTTAGCTCTGTTTTGTGCTCAAAGTTAGACAGACCTGAATTCAAATGCTACCCTGCTTCTGACATTTCTCCTCCCCTAGAAATGAGGCACAGTTTTCTGAGGTGAAGGCTGCTGTCGGGATGAAGTGAAATACAGTGTGGCTGAATGTGTGGCTTCTAGGAAGTGCTGGTTTCCTCTTCCTTCCAATGGTTACTCATCATGAAATTCACGCTTGCCTTAGGCAGCATCTCCAAATAGGTAGACAATGTCTTACATTTATGAAGAGTTTTATACTTCAGTACCCCTTTACTTCTTCTCAATCATTGGCTTCTTTGAGCCTTTGGAAAATATTTTAATATCTTAGTTGACCTTTTTAGATTTGTTGTCTTTAGGACATAATAACATTGTCTGTTGACCTTGAAAAATGCTAATCCAGGAAATGATGCAAGAAAAAAGGACAAGACCTTTGCTTTTCTTTCCACTCCTTTTGGGGCAGTCTACCTTGTTCCTTCTCCCAGGTATCTATGTGTGCGTGAACGGGGTGTGGCCGGTGGCCAGGGTTGGAGGTAAGTCAAGGGTGGGAGGGAGGGATATAACACGTAGCTGTCCTGGGTTTCCATGTAAGGATGCCTAGCACAGAAGGAATGTGCTACCTTCCCTTATGAAAGAACATTTCTTTTTTTTTTTCTCAAGCTTGTGAGAAAAATCATCCTACATTCTCTTGTTTAAACCAAAACTATGTACTTACTCTCCTTACAGTGGTCTGGATTGAAAGGCTATATTCATCAGAGTGTGGCAAAATATACTGAGAAAAGATGTATTCACCCCAGTGTATCGCCTGGCACACAGTAGGGGCTCAACAAATACTTGAAGCTACTGCAGTGTGTCCTCTGTTGACAATGCAGAAAATAATGCAGTGATTCCTCACTTCCAGGGTAGCTTCCTAGATCAGCAAGATTCACTCGTCAAATCATGGATTAGTTGAGAGGTCACACAGGTGGGCAGACTTTGTTTTGGCTTGCAAGGTTTCAAAATACTTTTTGAATTAACATCTAAAGCTTCAGAGATTTCATATACATAGAGAGCTGACTAGCTTTACCCAATAGTATTTATCTGGCCCTTTTGGGAACTTGTGCTGGTGCTTGGATTATAATTGTGTTGGCTAAATAAAAGTTCAGAAGTCCTGTTAGCTCTATCAGGTGTTAATTTAATCCTGTAAAGAACATACACGCATACTCCAAACAAAAAAGAGCAGGTTCGAAATGTGTAGTTACAAAAATCAAACCCTTCAGCCCTCAAATTTCTCGCTGTTGGAGAACTGACTATGCAGATCCCACCATCAGTTTGTAAAGTCCTGTTCTCAGAACCTCCACTTCATGGGCTCTTGCTGACTAGAGGCATGAAGGGGAAAGACCACCTGCCCCTTCACTATTGTTGTTAGAAAAAGCCCCTCCCCCCCACCCCAATCACAACTGGGAAGGAATTCTTGATGCAAGCAGGGAGGAAGAATTAAAACTCCACTGACATAAAAAGCTACCAAGTGCCACAGCAGCTTGTCATTTAGAAGTACCATTAGGAATTTTACAGAGATTAATCAAATTAAATAGGCCTAAAACACAAGTGAGTTTCACTTAATATTTTAAAATACATTACAATACTGAGAGTCTCTCCACTTTAAGTCACTCCTTTAAAAGGCAGATGGGGCCTGACCATTCTCCCTTTTCAAAACGATGCAGCCTTCCTCCCTGACCCTCCTGCTGATCCTGTGTGTTCCCCTGAAACCACAGAGGCCCCACTCCCGTCCCCTTGCTGCTGAAGCCCACACGTCTAGCCCCTGTATGGCCCCTTCACTTTTCTTCCCCAGTTCTTTTTTTCATCTCTCCCCTGGCCCACCTCAAAGATATTTCAGGAATAGCATTATATAATAATAATAGTAACAACACTGTTAAACATCAGGGCCGGCCAAGTGGCTCAGTTGGTTAAGAGTTGGCTTAAGAGCGCGAGCTCTGAGCAATAGGGTCGCCAGTTCAATTCCCACATGAGCCAGTGATGCTGTGCCTGAGCTGAGCTGTCGCTGCGCTGCCAACAGACGGCAGGATGGCTCAGCTGGTGTAACAACAAGATTGCCTGTTCAGTGGTGGGCTATGCCCACCCACAAGTAGGACTGAACTGTGCACCTTGAGCTGAGCTGCTGCCTGGATGGCTTGGTGGATAGGGCGTGCACTCTTAACAAGGCTGCCGCGGGTTCGACTCCCCGCATGGGATGGTAGCTACGCCCGCCCGCAACTAAGATTAAACACAGCACCTTGAGCTTAGAGGCCATGAGCTGCCCACGGGAAGCCAGATGGCGACTGGCGCCTTCCACAACAAAGATTTTAGAACAACAACTTGGCTGGTCCCCTTCCCCAATTTCCCAACACTGTTCCCCTCCCCAGTTCCCCAATAAATTAAAAACAACAACAACAAACCAACCAAGTTGCTATTTTTAAAAAAATCACTAATATGTTGCATTAATAATACATCATTACTACTACTACTAATGAACATTCATTGAGCACCTACTATGTGCCGAGCACAAGTTTAACTATCTGAGAGAGGTCAGCTCACCGAGTAATCACCATAATCATCTGAGGCTTGCAGTGTGGTAGTTAAAGATGAGTGTTCAGTCAGGCTGGTGGCTGGGATCTTAACATCTTAACAAGGCTTGCAGACCACCGCCGGTGTGGTCCAAATGCTGTCCACAAGGCTTCTTCCAACCCTTAAGAGGCTATGATTACTGCTGCCATATTTAAGGCTGCAAGATTTATAGCAGCTCCTATTGCTAAGTGAAAAAGGAACTTATGTTTTGGCAAGCCCTCTATTTCCCACAAAGATCAATTCTGGAAAAACTGAACCTCCTCAAAACAGTCCCCTCGTCTTACTCCACCAAGCCGAGGGGTCTCCCATGACTGAACTTGAGGTGCCACTGGATACCAACAGAAGCCGAATTAAGCTACAGGGTTAAATCCTGACAGTGTAGAAACGCAATTTCCTCCAGTAAGTCTAGATAATTGCAGTTTCCTCTATGAAAGTCTGTCATTAAAGTCCACTACGAGGAAGTTCAATGGACAAAGTTCCAATGACTGTCGCTGACTTGTACCCAGAGACCAGACCTGGCAGAACCAGAGTCAGCTCTGCCCGCCCCCCC